CGGAGCTGTATATCCTCTCAAATTAAACCCAAGTGCCCGGCCTCCATTTAAAGGTTAAGAGAGTGTATGCCATTAGCATTAATGTTTCATGAAGCTGGGAGCCCAGGGCCCGGCGCCGCTACACGGAGGAGGGGGAGACCCTATCGGCTGAGGGCCTGGGCAGTTCTCCAAGGAGGCAGGTCCCCCAGACTCCGTGCCAGGCTGGGTTTCCACCTTGCCCATGTGTGCCGCGAGCCGGCTGTGTGGCTACCCATCTGAGGGTCACCCTCGGGGCCTCTTCTGACCCCTGCTCTCCTCTCAGGAAGACTGCGTTCGACTCTTGGAGGGTGGCGCGGGGCTTCCTTCCTGGCCCGACTGGTAGTTGAATGCCAGCAACCAGCAAGGTTGGTTCTCTGAGCGAGCAGGATGCGAGGGCCTGGGCTGCATGGAGTGGGAGCAGGTTGGCCATGACACCGCCGAGTTCCTTCTCTGATCGGGAATGGGGGCTCCTCACGGTGGCCTTGGCCTGCACCTGCCTGACGGAGAGTCACCTTGGGCTTCTTCTCACGTGTGTGTTTGGTATTGAGCAGACCCTCCCTCAGTGGAGATGCGTCTGCTGGCTCTCATCTGTCTGCCTGCTGAGCAGGTGCTGCTGGTGAATTGTCACGGTTCTTGTGGGCCCTGGTCAGGGCGCTGACCATGGAGGACGGCCCCTCGAGAGCTCAGGTGCCCATCCCTGTGGTGCCTCCAGGCCTGTGCTGGTCACTGTGCTGGTCACTTGTGCTTTGGGGTCCTGTCTCCGAGACCCCGCCCAGCCCGGGGCATGGGAAGGGACACCTGTGTTTCCTCCCAGCAGTCCTGTGCTTTCTGGGCTCAGATTCAGGAATACCAGTCAGAATGTCCCAGCCAGGCAGGCAATGGGGCATTGGAAGCACTCACTGGTTTGTGCCCGGGTGTGTCCCATGCAGGCAGTGCCCAGCCAGCGCGGGAAGGAGCAGCAGTGCCTGTTCCAAAGCAAGGGGCCCGGAACGGGAGTCATCCAACATGTGCCGTGAGGATCTCATGCGTGTGGTAGTTATGTAATCTGTTGTAAGTTTGAGAGGATTACCAGTGAAGGGGTGGAGTCTAACCTGTCAATCATTATATAGCCAATGTGGCCTCTGTGTGGGCATGGGCTTCCCCTGAGGATTCTGGGAACTCCTGTATTTCCTCCTTGGAGGCGGGAGACACTCTTTCTGCTCACTCCCTGGGAGATGCTCTACTGACAAGACACATGGCGCTACGCTGATAGACCCCATGCCCTGACCCCTGCCAGTGCTGAGACGCTTACAACACCACTGGATCCACCAGACTCCCCACCCACTGGCCTGTGATCTTCCTGCATTTGGTGTCATTGCATGTGTTTCGTGAGACTGGTATCAGACATTTGGGCCTAATAACAGACTTAAGGACTTGATCTGGACTGAGCTGCGAGGTTTTCTCAGTGTTCAATTGCACTTGAATATAAGCCTCTTCCTTATACACACACATGTCTATGAATCTGTTTCTCTAGTTCACCTGGACTGACACAGCACGTGTGGACAGCGGCAGGCACACAGGTGCCCTGGGGGCGGGCGTGTGAGAATGCCAGGCCGCAGGAAGGGAGCAGATGGTTATGCCAGACAGAGGGCAATCAGAAAGCCTCTCAGAAGGGAAGACGGCGAGACTTTGTCTTCGTGCACTTTGGACATGTGGTCAGGAGAGACCTGTCCCCCGGCAGGACATCATGCTTGGTCAAGTGGAGGGTCCACCCCAAAAGAGGGAGGCCCGCAATGAGATAGATGGACATGGGTGGGGACAGGCCTGGACTCCGATGTAACACTGATCGATCGATCGATTGTCAGGATGGGGCGGGGACCAGGCAGGTTTCGGTCTGCTGCACCGGCTAGCTGTGAGTCAGAGTGGACTGGATAGCTGACAGTGACGTCACGGAGCCCTTTGGAGGTGTCGTTTTTTGTGTACGGTGTGAGGCTCACTCCAGCTCTGTCCTCGCCACTCCACGGTTAACCCAGCCCCGTTTGCGGATGAGACTCCTCTTGTCATTCCCCGTGGAAAGGTCCCAGCGCCCCGGTGGAAAACCAGCCGACACAAAGACTGGCTTACTTTCTGCACCCCCAATTCTGTCCTTATCGAGCAAATTGGACGTCAGATAAGGAGGACTGAGGAAGAATCAGTGCACTTGAATGTGGTGCTGGATAGAAGATGGGAAGTACCATGGACTGCCTGCCTGAAGGACAGACCGATGTGTCCTGGAAGAAGTATGCGAGTGCTCCTTGGAGGCAAGGCTGGCGAGACTTTGTCTCACGGACTTTGGACGTGGTCAGGAGAGACCATTCCTGAGAGGCTGGCGACGCAGAGGAAGGTCCTCAGTGAGATGGACGGCGCCACGGCTGCATCACCGGGCTCACAGCCAGTGGTGCACGATGGTGAGGATGGTGCAGGCCGGCAGCGTCTCCTGCTGTGCACAGGGCCACGTGGGCTGGAGCCGGCTTGATGGGCAACAACAGCAGTGACAGTTCTATCCTGGAGCCCTGGCGGCACAGGGGTTACATGTCGGGAGTTTGAAACCACCAGCTGCTCTGCAGAAGGGTGGGGCTTCCTACCCCTGTCAAGTCACAGACCACCCTGTCCTCCAGGGGCACTGTGAGCCAGAAGGGGCTCGAGGGGAGTGAGTCTGGGGGCTTCCGTCTGCCCAGAGCTGTGGAGTAGGCGCTGGGCTGCTAACCACAGGTGTGCGGTTCAAACCCACCAGCTACTCTGAGGAGAAAATATAAGACCGCCTGACCCCCAGAAAGAGTGACAGCCCCGAGACTCACAGGGGTGGTTCTCCCCTGTCCTGTAGGGTCGCTGTAAGTTGGCCCGTTAGGGGTGGGTGGGACAGTGGGGAGCGGGGTCTGAAGGTGAGGCTGTGCTGGCAGGGTGGTGGGGTGTTTGGGGCCACATCCATAGGCCAGTTGTCGTGGAGTAAGCTTTATGGGCACAGGGCCTGCACAGTAGAATCAGGCCTACCGCCCCACGGCCCCAGTGCTGCAGCCCACCCCAGTCTGCACTGTGCTGTGCCCTCTGCCCGTTGCTGTCAGAGCCAAGTGGGCCTAGACCACCGGCTGCCTAGACCACCCTTGGGGTGGGTGGCCTGCACCTTCTCCTTCCCACATACCCCTGGACAGTGGTGTTGGGGACACGGAGCCCTGGGAGCCTGCTCCTGGTCCCAACCAGACTTGGGGGGCACCCTCTCTGGAGAAGGCGCTCTCATCCCAGATGGACCGAGTCAGAACCTCTAGCCCAGCCAGGCCCCAGGTGGTTCTCCTGAGATTGTGTGTGTGTGTGTGTGTGTGTGTGTGTGACACAGCCCCGGCCCTGCAGGGAGGGCTTCAGGGACCCCTTGGCCAGCGTGTGGGGGAGCTGAGCAGTTGGCCACAGGCAGCTGCCCTGGAAGGAGGCAGGGCGCCTGCCCCAGCACCTCCCG